GTCTTCACAGATTACTTTAGAGAATCTTATTTTGCATAAAAATCCGCAGTCTACAAGTTGATGCGACCTTAAACTCACAAAATAAAGAACAAATAGAAACAAATGTATTTTCTTATGACACATATTGTCCCAATAGTAAAAACTGAGAGAGTCAAGGTTTTAATTAAGACTGTAATCACAGAAACAGTCGCTATTCTTGCATGCACCTAAGTAATAACCGACACGAGACTGACTGCTAACCAGTCTCCCCCGGAAGTACTTTATTCATGCCCTAGATTTCATTCGTATTCCCCTGAACTATTTCAACTGAAAAGGAAGAAGCTCTATGGCGGTTATTTAACGTTTTCACCTTAGAGCAGTGCATTCCGAACGGAGATACAGTATCCGTGATGATTTACACCCTTCCTTGTTTCAAGTCACGCACCCAAGGCCGCTAGCAAAGATCGCCGAGAGTCAGGGCGTTACTCGCGTGTATGACGCGTGCAATTTCTCGTGGAATTATTCCACGCACGCCAACGGCAGTTCGTGATATATGGCCAGGCGCATAAGAGACGTGTCCCTCCTACACGCGTGACCCATGACCGGGGCCGAATATTGAATCACTTTAATATCTCGGAACGAGACACGAGACGTACGACAGAGTCATGGCCTGCGTCGACCTTCTCCCCTGTGGATGTTTGATCGTGCCTACGTAACAATACCTCCATATCAAGCGTAGAACGGTTCTCACTAAATGTTACCAAACTCTCAACCCTCGGGACCAACTCGAGAATCTAGTTTTACCCTCATTGGACAACAGTTACGTACTCTACAGAGGGAACTTGAAATATCTCAGATTCGTGCAAAAAAAAAAAACAAATTTATGATGAGCTGAAAACCAGATCCGAGTTCGTCGCACTCATCGAGACATTACTGTATATGTAGTATCATATTATAATGTAATGCTACAAATATGTAAAATATATGAAGAACATAACAGTACGTACATGGAACTTAATACTGCATGAACTTATCATACACTTCTTAATACAAAAGCTTATTCAAGTGAACCTTGAAGATAGAATAAATCTTTCGATATAGATCAACCTTGCCATGAACGGAGGATAAAGCTTCAATGAAAATATTTTATTTATCAAAATAACCTCCACTGCATTAAATATATCATTTGTCGTTAACTATTCAAACCATACATCAACATCTTTTTTAAAATTTGATTGTTTATAGTTTACATGACGTATTAACCCTTTCCTTACTTAAGTCGAGCGCTCGGTATGTACTAAAGGTGACTATAGTTACTCACCGCTGAACACTTCTGGTATCCTAAACCTAAAAATGATTATCGTCTCCAGTCAAACTTTCGAGTTACTTAAGGGGTTATGCCTACTTGCGAGCTCGAAAAAAGACACGTATTTTCGGAAATTATACGTCATTGTATTCGAAAGTGTACATGTTAGAGTGCTTATAGTAATTTGTTCAATGCAAAATATGAGTAAATAAGGGAAATATCAGCGATCACCCGGTGGCGTTTTTATTTTAGGCGTTTTACGGTGACCACTGTAACGTCGAGTTGCAAGATGGGCATTATTGTTAGAGCAGTTCGATTATACGATTGAACATCGCACAGGAAATGTTATGAGACATGTAAATGCGTTAAGTCGGCACCCTATTCCGGCGTGTATGCTTATTAACCGCTTGCCCTATAACATCGAGTCAGACTCGTGTTGACGATTTCAAAATCGTTTCAACATAGAAGAATATTATTCGGTTTTCTTTTAGTCGAAGTGAAATGCCACGTTGCTAACATTAATTCTTAACTATTAGAGTAAAAATACAGTTGCGATAAGTACAGATTTCCTTTTGTTTCTGGGAAACTATCGACAACAATGTAATCTTGGAGTCTGCAAACGTCAAGAAAATCGTAGGGCAAGGGGTTAATGAATGTCAGAAAAGTGTGCTTATGAGATTGCGAAAAGCGCAACGTGATGATCAAGATTTAAGAGATACACTAGAGTCAGTGAATAGTGGACAAAATAGTGGTAGTGAATACGTAGTGAGAAATGGATTTTTGTGTGAGACAGCTTCACGAGAACGGACATTTTTTTAGTAACAAAACGGAAACACTTGTTAAAAAAGACTATTGGTTTAAAAATTTAAGGACTAAAGGGGAAAGAGAGGTTCGGAACTACTGTGTTGTGTGTATATTAACCGACCGAAAGTGTGGTAAACGAGATGAACTATTATATCCTATCGAAAAGGGAGAAGTTCCTTTAGACGTATATCACATTGATCATCTGGGACCTCTTCCTTCAACCCGCAAGAATTATAAACACATCTTTGTGGTAATAGATGCGTTTTCAAAATTTGTGTGGCTATATGCTACGAAGTCAACCAGTACTGCTGAGGTTGTCGACTGTTTGAAGAAACAAGCAACAATCTTTGGCAACCCTCGGAAAATTATTTCGGACCGTGGAACTACATTTACTTCCGCAGAGTTCCAGGAGTATTGCAGAGAAGAAAATATTGAAGCTGGCCTTATTACGACTGGTATGCCAAGGGCGAATGGTCAGGTGGAACAGGTTAATAGGACAATTATTCCTTTATTGACTAAGTTGGCCGCCCCTAAACCTGAAGAATGGCATAAATACCTGGACGTGTGTCAGAGATACCTCAATGCAACTCCTCATCGTAATATTGGCACAACACCTTTTAGAATCTTATTCGGTATTGACATGAAATTAAAAAGCAATCCTGAGAATCGAGAGGTAATCAGTAATGAATGGAGTAAAATGTTTCAAGAAACTCGAAACGAATTGCGGCGTCGCGCAAAGAACAATATTTTGAAGATTCAACAGGAAAATAGAAGTAGTTTCAATCGGCATCGTAAAGAAGCTCGCCGCTATAAAGAAGAGGATTTGGTTGCTATTAAAAGAACGCAATCGGGACCAGGTTTGAAGTTTGCTCATAAATACTTGGGGGTCCGTATCAAATTACCCGTGTACTACGCAATGATCGGTATTTGGTGGAAAAGGTGGGTGAACACGAAGGTCCGCGACAAACGTCAACTGCTGCAGAGTATATGAAACCTTGGATAGCAGACTTAGAAGAGTCATTGTCAGATGATGAAAATACATTTGATATTTGAGGGCAAATATCCCTGCAGGATGGCTCTAGAGTGTGGACTCTAGAGTAAGCTGAGTGTTTTGTATAAACGATGAATATTTGGAACTGAGATATCGATGTTGGCGCCGAAAGTCTGTAGACTGCGTCATGGAAATTTGAGCGCCTTGCGTTTAGTGTGTCTGTAGGTGTGTGTGGGTAACCTTTGTGAGGGGTATGGCTTGGGACCTACAGACAGTCGAATGGAGAGATTGCACTCGGACAGTCGACTGGTGTGATTGCGTGTAGAGAGTCGTGAAGTAACTAATCCGAGACGTTAAACTATTAGTGTGTTGCGTGTTTTATTTTATTTGACTATACCATTATTTTATTTAATAAACTATATATATATATATCTCTACTGGAAATCCTATTTAATTTCTTACAATATAATGTAACAATTATACATATACAATGCGTTTCCGAAGTATATCAAAACTCATCCGATCTCAATGTTATGAATTTTTTGAAATTATAGTAAATATAAAATGCAAAAAAAGTAAATTAGAAAAAATTCGAATAAATTCCCACGTATAGAAACTTTACCTTTAAAGCACTGATTTATCAAGTTTCACAAGTATAAAATTCATAAATATGAAATTGAGTCCACTTTTCAGTCCACACAGAATCATCCATAGTTTAAGTTTACAAAAAATACGTAGCATTAATTAAGTTCATATGCTTGGAAGTGACTTGTTACCCAATTTGGGATGGATTTGACGAAGAACATGTATTGTCTTGCAAACGATAACATATCGCTTTCAGATCAGCCTGTCCTATTCGTCGATTTAAATCCCATTGAACGTGTATACCACAACATTCGTCATATTCAACAAACAATATAAAATTGGTATATTTTTAGGTCTCTGTAAAATTTGTATGGCAGGTAGAGATTTCACACGCAGAAAGGTATTTTAAGAGTGCATTAAAGAGTTAAAGAAAAGCAACAATTGGTTTTGCTGAATTCTTCAAAGTAACAATAACTCTCTAAACAATTTAATACAAAATTCTTTTCGAATGCAATAGAGACACCAAATACAGCGGTATCCGTGAGTAGGCTACTTGTAGGGTTCGCAGAATTGCGCTATTTTAATTTTTCTGTTTTTTTTTGATATCCACGAAATAATCATATGCAAAAAAAATATTCTTTTCTTTGAAAGAAATAATTCAGGTCAGAAAGGGTTAAGATAACGCCGAGCGCTGAGCTCAGTCACCGAGCGAGATGGACATTGCAAGTGAGTGAGAGCGCAAAACTCAAAATCAGATCGATCGATTCAATTCAACAATGAAAAGTAACATTTACTTATAATTTTGTTTTTTCTTAATGAAAATGTGTTTAATGGATTGACGAGATTTTCGTTATGAAAACAGGTCCAAACATGGCATACATTGGACTATTTTTAATTATATATCAACGTACAGTGACTCTCACGAATTCTATTCATCTGAAATATCTTCGTTATTTCAAACAAGACGCTACAATGTTACGAATAAAAGTTATAGGATTTAAAGCAATATATAATATGGTAATAATGGTTCTTTGACAGTTGGAAGCGTAGAGGAGATACAGGTCAATTTTGTTTTTTTTAAATGGATTTACAATTAGTTATGCTTCTGAGTATAAAAGTACTAAGGTAAATTTATTCTAAAACTTATTGTTTGTGAAATATTTAACTTTGCTTATCCTACTAATTTCGTTATCAAACATATTGGAAGATGTGTGTGGTACTGTGAATGTAAACAAATAGTAGTAATAAATTCTTGAAAACCTACAACTTTCATTAGTAACATTTTCGCATATTGTTTAAAGAGAGTTCGCGGAACACTGTGTATTATATGTTTTGAAAAACACAGTCGTCGTTTCTTTGCAAAACTAAAAATGGCACATCTGCAAGGAAAAATTAAATGCCCAGGCTATAGATCTTTAAAAACAAATAACGGTATATCGAAAATCATTTTCGCGCCGTAACAGTGATATTTCTTGATTTCTTCATTTCTTCATACACCACATTCTCTAAGGCCATTATTCTTGTTCTTCGTGTCATGTAGTGTCGCGGTTTACAGTTCTGGAACTGTGTTAGGTGTGATAAAAGTGAAATAGCTTATGGCTATCCGATTTACAAACTGTTTAATACATATTGGTACATAACTTAAAATAGTCCAATTGAGACCGTGCTTGGACAAACATTTATCATAAAGATCTTCACAGTTTATGGAAAGTAATCTCAATAACGTAAAATAAAAATGACAGACAATCTATTGTTGAAATATTGGTTTGACAACTTTGCTGTCCGCAGCCAACTAGTGATGAAAGATAAGCCAACCTAGTGCGGCATATACCATAAAGGAGTGAAGGGAGAAAAACGGTAATCTACTCGCGGTTCAAAAAGATAACCTATACGTGGACACCACTGTACGTGTTAATTTAGGGAACCATATTTAACTTTTTATAGACAAAGGTTTTCGCTAACTATAAATTGGAGATGCCCGCAATACTTAACGACGCGTTTAAAATACATTTTAGATTCGCTTTATCTTTGCCATTGTTAACATTTTTTAAAGTTATTTTACATACATACTGATCAAAAACATTGTTTTTAACTTAATCGACAAAGAACAAGGTGATACGAATGAATTATTTAAACGAGTTACGTCAAAATACACCACACATATCATGCCTCCTAGACGGCATGTCGTCACTTGCCCTGATGATATCTCCCTCTCGTTGATCGTCTGCGCAGCTGACCGGGAACCGTAAGCAAATTCTCTTCGAATGTGTCCAATGTAAAGTCCTGTTCTTTGAGTAGTTTTCGTAAAGATCTGCTCGTCTGACCGTCCCGTCTGATCAAGGTATCGGAATTTTTGACCAGCCTTGCAATCTGTCTTATGTGCTGCTTTCTCTTCTGTGCCGGAAGACGCCCTAACGCGACAGGTCGCGGTCTCGCGGACGGTGGTGGGGGTGGTGGTGGTGGTGGTGGAAGAAGTGCTGGCATTTTGGGTGGTGGCAACCGTGCCGGTGGACCGGGCGGTAGCCGTGCTCCGGTAGGAGCTCGATTCGGACCTGGTTGTCGTGGAAAACCTGGAATAAGGAATCCCGGTCTAGGTGGCGGAGGAGGTAGTGCCGGTCGGGGTGGTGGTCCGTACCTGAACGGCCTAGGCCCGTACATAGGTGGAGGACCTGGTGGCGGTGGAATTGGTGGCATATGACGAAAACGTGGCGGAGGACCGCCAAAACCAAAGTGTTGCGACCGAAATGAATTTTCCGTTCCGAAACCACGACGTAACGGCGCAAAACCTGGTGGCCCCATTGTAAACGATGCCGACCGGCCTCCTAAAGAATTTAACGACGGACGTGCTACTCTTTTGACTATGTTCGGCGTCGATGACGCTGAAGGCAATCCCAATGGATTATTGTTAGATTCCAAACTGACTTTACTCGTATCGATCTTCTTGTGCTGTGGTGTTTTCTTTACCGCGTTTATATATATTTCACGCTCGATGGGATACCCACGAGCCTCCACGAATGCTGAAACAGGGACAAAAAGTACGCTTGGATAACGTGCACAATCAGACAGAAAACAGTTTTTTTTTTTTACTTCGACCGAATGGATTCGTCCGCGAAAAAAACATCTATATAATAACTGCTTAAGCGAAACGACTAAATGTGATCGGTGAGTAATATGCAATTAAGGGGACCTCTTTTAATCGCCTATCAAATTGATATTTGTTTACTTACATATTTCAGTGTGCGTAAGGTTATTTCATACGTGACATAAAAATAGACAGGTGAAACACGTAATCGCGACCTACTATGTATTGCGCTAATTTTTTGTTAAATATTGCACAGCATGTTTGATGGCGAAACAGTACATTGTAAAATATAAATAAAACCAACTGATGTATATTACTTTTAAATTATTTAATTTTTACACGTTTTTCTTTAATTGTTGCTTTAGCCAACCACTATAAGTTCTTTTCTAACATTGTGTCGTTTAAATTGATCGTAATTCAACAATTCTACTATTTTACTTCATAGTCGCAATGTACGAACAAAGCTGAGCGTAACACTTGATTCATAATATTTCGTTTGATATTTCGACGTCTAAATCGCTGAACTGTTTTTACTTTTGCTGCTTAATCTACCATCAAATTAGAGTGAGGAAAGGTACATGATATTATTGTTACGGCTGTAACATTGAACTACGCATAAATTTTAGAAAAAATTTCCGAAGGTCATTTCTTAAGACAAAATGGTAATTTCAGTGAACCAGGAAGGGGTTTAACTAAACAAGATAATACACAGTAGATCTAGCAAAATAAATTATTATCAACGCTATTCCAGTGCATTTATTAATAAATCGAATAAACCATTTCATATTAACCCTTTGACTGCGAACAGCGCCTTTTGGACGTTCTTCATTCGTTGCAACAAGAAATTTAAGAATGACTACATAAAATTTACACAAACAATTGAATGTTTTTAAAATTATTAACACAGAACATCGTACACATTGAGCGTTCTGCTTCCGAGTAATTCGCAGTCCAAGGTTAACAAATTACATGTGGCAGTTTTGAAACCACTTACCTTTCAAAGTTTCCTCAGGGTGCCATCCTAACTGTTGCACGAGGTACCTAGGATGCAATAAATAAAAAAAATATTAGTTTGCTCACTAACCAACGTGATTTAATTCATTTAAGTAGAAGTTAAAAATTTAATGAAACTGAATTGATATACAAATTTATGTAGGTATTTATAAATAAATTAGGATTCTTAAATAACGATTAGTGCAAAATGCTCACTTTTAATTTATAATTCATGTAGTAGGTCATTAAAAAAGGTAATGGTAGTAAAAATGTTTACTAACCTACAAACTAGGTATCCAGAACGATTTACACCATGTGTACAGTGAACACCCACAATATCTTCTGAAACACAAGAAGGGGACATTCTTCAAAACGCAGTTCCTTATACATTATAAAAGGTAACTCGTATGCAATATTATACTGTTAAGAGAAATATGTAATTGTAATTAAAAATAGTTAAATGTCAACATGATTTTCGATTAGAACAAATGTTACATTATTTAATGAGTAAACTGCAGATTTTTATGCAAAATCACATTTTAGAAGGTTCTTCATAAAGACAAAAACAAAAGTAGGAAGTTCTTTCTTCCCTTAACCCCTTGCGCTGGAAAGACGTGCCACATACGTCGAAATTACACGCATTTGTGACCTGGCTGTCAGCGCAAGTGGTTAAGTATCTTATTGGGCTCGGAAGAAAATAGAAAACTCGTTGCATCTGAGGAAACTTTTACCCTTCATTGTATTTCACAGACACCTATAAGCTATAAATGCATGAAATCCACAGTCTATTAATGAGTAATTAAATGGAAAACTCAAACATGTACATTGATCAGCACAATGCTGATGACTGTCTAGTACAATACATAAAATACATAAAGTCTGACTAGAGTCAACTAGTTTTAACTTATACTTTAATTTCATATAAAACAACATCTGTCTACACACCTAAAGCTAATAAATGTCACTCGTTAGAAAAACTTAGTATTGACCAGAAAAATTCTGAAAAAGTTGACGCCATTTTTCTGGGAGATATTGGTCTTTCGATAATGTCGACGATATTGTCCAACCATTATTTATTGAAAACTAATTTAACATCTGGGTAACTTCCCTTGTGAGTACGCTAGGGATGTTCGCCGAACGTAGAAATGTTCGTCTCTTCCTAAACTTAGAATTCATCTTGCAACACAACAATGAAAGGTGCAACTGCTGAAGGAGGAAAAGCGAGAAGTAGATCAACTACTTGTATGGAAGTATTAGATTTCAAGATAGAAGAAAATTTCAAAGAGAAAAATTGTTATTATCAAGAGGATGAATGTAATTATATAAACAGACTTTTCATTAATGTCATCTCCAAGGTCATTAAATGACGCTACGGTCGCTAAAATCAGTCAGCTTTTTTTCCAATGCGGCACTCAATGCTTCTGATTTTGTAGTTCTCAAAATTGTGTCAGAAAGAGTATAATAAAATATAACACCATGACTTTCCGATGATCTTAAATACAATATCTGTAACGAAAGTTTGTGTGCATACTTCTGTACAACCTACCAAACCAAATCATATTCTTTACATAAATATTAAGAATCAAAGTAGGTAGGTAGATGGTGCCATTTAAGAAAACATGGATGAGCTTCAAATAATTTAAAAAAAAAAAGTCACGAAAGAACCTGTATCTGGCATTACATTTATCCCCTTGAACAATACAAATTTTCTTTTTGAAATTTTTCAGATCTTCAAATTTGACAGAGATGGTTAGATAAGTGTTTTTCTTCATTTACCCTAGATACAGGACGTACGACTAATCATGATAAAACTGCGAGTTATCTTTTATCAAAAAATTCGAAAATATAGAATCTAGTTTTCTCATGGAAGGCTTTGTTTTCAAGTAAAATTATCTTTGAAAATTTATCTGACACGTTTACGCAAAACATTTTTATGTAAATATAAATTATGATGGACTAATTAGCAGAAATTACAACGGAACAGAAATCTGTTTGATGTCAGTTTCAGACTAAAATAACAACCTAATTAAATTTCATTGAACAACTTTCTATGTTGAGTTTTAGCCGATCGTGTGGGCTATAAACATAAAAACATCCGCATTCTAGTGATTAGAATAAGTAGAAACGATAAGCAGTTAACGGACATATTGGCCAAACCCTATTCTACAGCATGTGTACCCAACCAATATTCAAATTAATTTTTCTTAACAATGGATCATTATATGATAATATTGCATTGTAAAGGATGTCGAGAAATTACATGTCGCGGCTACCATATCCAGATTCCATAGGTCTGTGAAGTTAGCAACCCCAAATGTAAAAATTTTATGAAAAACAAACAGTATTCGTTTGTTCGCGATTTGTCCACATTTGTTCAACCAAAATTTTCGTTTGTCCACCCTTAAAAAAAACTTATAAACAAATAAAGAAATTTGTCACCAGCACCCCCATGAACATTTTTCCTTAATTCTCAAGTTGGATATGATTGCCCGCGATTTGTCCATGTTTGTCTACCCAAAAATTTCGTTTGTCCACCCTTCAAAAAAAAGTTATATAAACAAATTGAGAATATGATATCAATACTACCACGAACAGTTTTCCTTAATTTCTAACTGAGATATGATTGTCCACGATATGTCCACGTTTGTCCACCCCAAATTTTCGTTTGTCCACCCAGCAGAATCGAATTAGTAACAAACAAAACATAAATAATGAAATATGATAGCTCTGAGTATTTCATATTACATTTTCTCTAAACTAAGCATTGGAATCGTTTGTCCATGATATGTCCTCGTTTGTCCACCCAGCAGAATCGAATTATTAACAAAATAAACACAAAAAAATACGATTTAATATTAACGGCGACAAACGAAAATTGTTGGTGGACAAACCCCCTTATATACCCTCTTGTATACTGATGTAGGGGCCTAGGAAAACGCGGGACCGAGCGAGTGGGATTCAGAATCCGCTGTCGAGTCGAGAATTATATACGTAACGAACATCACCTAATTCCAAATTACTTTATTACCAGTATTCGTAGACAGGGATTCTTAGACACCTGATATTTAGATGTGGCAAGGCAACCATAAGTATGGTCAGTATACAGGGTGTTAATAAAAATATGGGACACTTTCACAGAGTGGACTCTACATGCCAAACTAAGACAAAAATCAAGAATGACGAAACTGCATTCGAGACTTCGTTTCCAAGCTATTAATTGTTGAAAACACCGGCAAAATACACGTGAAATACGTCTGATGCGGCGGGTTATTCTACTAACAATAAGAGGTTTAGTGCAAGAGGAAGCTATGCCACAACAGCAGCGTTAAGATATTAAGGCTTTTATGAAAAGTAGTGTACATCATAGTATACTATTTAATATATAGGGTATTAAAAAAAATATTCAATATTTTTATAAGGTATATAGGACACACCGTAGGTACAGTAAGGTCGGTATAATTGCTCGGAATTCGGGACCCCCATGAGAGCAGTTAGCGTGGATAGACACTATTCCCACCACTCATGAAATTGGATCCGAGCCTCCGCAGCTAACGTTGGACTGTAGTTACAGTGGCACCGATATTGGACAATTCACCCAACGCCTTATTTTCGACGTATTGGGAAGGACTACGAGGTCTCAGTAATCAAACAAATCGGTCGACGCCTGATGGAAACGTATGTTGCCTGAACAGAAAAGGACAGCGAGCGAAAGAGAGCGGGGGACTGAGCGTGAGTCACCGGCGAATGTGACGCTCATCTCCGCTTACTGTTTCAAAAGTGCGCAGTCCAATCTCTCCCGCTCTACGTTTATTGATCACGGCACGTCAGTATACGTAGAGCAAGCTAAACTCCGTTCCATGTAAGAATAACCTCACGCTCGCACGAGTTTTCAACCGATCTACGAAGCCTCCACTACTGCCGACCGATTCGGACGCATGCGATTGATTGTAGCTCGCTATCACTGCCGATCTTCTACCAATGAACGCTCTTACGAACAGGGGTCTGTATAGGTGGAATGATAGGTAAAACACTGTTTGCAAGAGCGTCACGCTTTTACGTGGAACGGAGTTCAGACATCGGTAGGAGAGGCACAAACAAGTATGTATACCTCTCCACGTTAGCTGCACACTCTACTATTCGCCGCCTGATCTTTTCACAGCGCATTAACTGCGCGCGCACTAAAGACGTAGAATTTGAATGTGAAAGGCGCGTGATTATATAATATTATAGATATAAATCCTAAAATATATTTATCAATATTAACAACAATCAAATTAGTAGAGTACCTTGTTTTGTTTGGGAATTTCCTAGTAAATATTTAATTACAATTTTGGAATGATGCTTGAATGAAAGAAAAACTAAAGGTACACATAAGAGGTTAACATTTTAAATTTGTCTGGTTATATAATGTCTATGTAATAGATTTGATACAATAAAATTGTTTAGCAACGTAGACTTATTCCTCAATTTTTCTTAAATGTGCCGTTTGCTTCATATCCGATTCTTTGAACACGACTATTAAAACGAAAGATATTTAAAACTTCCTGGTCCAGTGTTGTACTTTACATTTATCAATAATCAGTGACACGAACTTAGGATAATAAGTGAAATGTAGAGAAAGTGTAGCATACATATTTGGAATACGAGTTTGTTTAGGATGAATAAAAAATTACAGCAGAGGATGAGGACAAATAAAAGTGTATATCATAAGGAAACTAATAAACCTTTCTATGTATTTCAAACTCTCAGTAGTAATGAAAAATAAAAAGTAACTAAAACTTTAATTTAATTGTAAAATGATATAAAGTAACGATTTTATTATGATATAGGTAGTTTGGAATAGCGGCATTTCAATTTACTTTTGCTTTGTAAAATTAAAAAACACATAAATAGTAAAATTATTTTCTCTTATGATGTAATCAGGCTTAAAAATCGCATTATAGGAACAATCATCTTAGGTAAATATTAATTCTAATTGTAAGTCCTAAAATTTACATTCATCTTTGGTATTCCGAATTAGCAAAATAGCATTAAAACCTAAAATTTCTGATCAAATTTTGTATTCTCGAAATATCCACAAAACTGACACGAAATCGTAGAATTAATATTCAAATGAATAGATTAAATGTTTTAGCCTAAAGTGTTGGCATATTTTGACCGAGATTACAACAATTGAATACTTGGTGAAAAATGTTTGTAAATTAACGTTTTACTCCTCTGTAGAACGAGTCGAAAATGTCAAAATTACGGTTCGTCCGCAAATATCATTGGTTAAGAGGTCATACGCCTCTATTATTTACGGTATTACAAATTAGATAAGGTTAGTAGTTTTTTTGATACTT